AATGGGGATCAGACTTTTGAAAATAAGCCCTGTGGACCTACTGTTGTTAGTCAAATACCTGCCCCATGGATACTACATTGAAAGTGTCACTATCTAACAAATTTTAGATGCTTCTTTCATTTTGATTAGGACAGTTAATCTGACCATTAGATAACAAATCATGAGCAAGCAACAGCAAATCAATCTGTCATTAAATTATTCCTGAGAGAGTAAAGGAGCAGTAGCAGACTAGAGTGGATTTGACTCAGATCCTAGGGTTTATTCTGTTATGGACAGCAGCTTTGAACACCATTTTATGGCGCAACTTGCTGTCTCATGAGTTTGCTGTAATTTCAGCTGAAATTCTTCTATCTGTGTGATGTGGTTTTACTTTGTCTATAAATACAATGGTAAAAACTTCAGTTACATCGTGGCCGGATTTGAAACTACATCTTTTTTCAATTAGTTTTTTCTTTTTTATTGTTATGGTTACTCATTTTGTCATCTTACTATACAATTTTTTTTTTTTTTTTTTTTACAAAACATCTTTTGCTTCTAGAATCCTCACCATAGCTTCCTCTCTTCCTTTGGGCTTTAGCTTTTTCAAACCAGATTTTAGCATTTAAAGTTTGAGGCTGTCATGTTTTTCATTTGAAATGAGAAGCACTGCTTTTTTCAGAGGGAGAAACTTGATAACTTCCTTGAAAAATTCAATAGAATATGATAACAAATACTTTCTTCCGTTTAGACAGTCTCTCCAACTACCACCCTGCCTCCAAGCTCTCCTTCCTAAGAAAACTCATGGAGAAATGTAGGGACAGCCAAACTTCAGCAGCATTTCACATTCTGTCCTAGACCTCTCACAGTCAGACTTCAGACTAGCCTATGACATGGCGATTGATCTTGAGGCACTGACTGGTCTTTCTGTTTATGGGCAGGGCAGAACTCCTTGCCTGTGCTACTCCGTATCCTTTTACTTGGATGTTCAGGTACAGAGTTTAAGGTCACAAGAGATCGATCATCTAGCCTCATCTCCTGTATACCACAGGCCATTAAATTTCACCCAGTTACCCCTGTGTTGAGCCTAATAACTTGTTTGGCTAAAGCATACCTTCCCGAAAGACCTCCAGTTTTGATCTGAAGACATCAAGAGATGGATATCCTACCATTTCCCTTGGCAGTGTATTCCAGTGATTAATCACCCTCACTGTTTAAAAATGTGTGCCTTAATTCTAATTTGAATTTGTCTGGCTTCAGCTTTCAGCCCTTGGTTCTGGTTATGCCTTTGTACATGAGTTAGTGGTTCCCAAACTCTTTACTAAGGCGACCCACCAAATGCTTTTTTTTTTGTGACCCACCGAGATCCAACTTCATGAGGAATTGGCAGGGGGGGGGGGGGCACAAAATCATAGACCAATGTCTTCATCCTTCTGTGATGACCAACCACTATGCCCATACTGGCACCAACCACTTGCAGCAGCATCTCTGCCCCGACACTACAATCTTAATTACAGCCTGGAGTGGAGGAGAGCCTGGGTGAGAGCAAGCTCATCCTGTAGGGCTGTGCTCTGGGTATTTTGGCCTGTCCCCGCTCTATCCATCATGACGGAGGAGTGGCTGCACCAAATTTGAGTTAGTGATGCTGAGGCCTCGTATGCTAGGTCTCAGCGCCCAGAGCAAAGAGCAAAGAGCCAGGCTCTTCACTCCAGCAGAGAAAGGTATGATGGGTTCTTCAATCTAGCAGATAAAGGTACAACAACAATCCAAAGGCTGGAAATTGAAGCTAGACAAATTCAGACTGGAAATAAGGTGTACATTTTGAATACAAAGAATAATTTATCATTGGAACAATTAACCAAGAATCATGGTGGATATTCCATCACTGGCAATTTTCATATCAAGACTGGATGTGTTTCTAACAAATATGGTCTAGGAATTATTTTGAGGTAGTTCTGTGGCCTTGCATTTTGCAGGTGGTAAGACTTAGATGATCACAATGGTTCCTTCTGGCCTTAGAATCTCTGAACCAGGTCACGACACCCGGAAAGGTCAGGAGCCACCATTGTAGGGTGGACTTTCTCTCAAACTCCAAACCACCCCCACTGCACCCAACCAGCTGGGCCTCTGCACTGGGCCCACAAACTATCTACAGCCATCCCAATCACGACCCACTGTTTGGGAAATACTGCACTAAATTAAAGAGACTCTTAGTACCTTCTCTCTGTGTGGCTACTTATCTGCTGTAATCAAGTCACCTCTCAGTTGTTTGTTGTTTTTCCCTTTTTTTAAAAAAAAAAAAAAAAAAAAAAAGCTAGACTCTATGTTTGGTAATATTAAAATGAATGTTGTTTGATTGGGCCCAGTTCACTGAGCGATCCAGATTGTTCTGAGCGATTGCCCTACCCATATCGTTATTTGCCACTCCACTGATCTTTGTCATCTGCAAACTTTATCAGAAGTGATTTTATATTTACCTCCAGATCACTGATGAAAATGTTGAATAGCATCAGGCTTAGGCGTTACTGACCTCTTTACAAGACTTAGCTGAAGTGGACAGTGCAACACTATGATGACTTGAGTCATTCCCCTCAAACAGGACCCAAAGACTAGTACTGAGCAGCTCTCATACTAGGGATCAGTAGTGTCTGTTTTCTCCTCCACTTGGAGAGGTTGTGAAATGCTGCTTGCTCCCTGAAAGCAGTAAGTGGACATCTTTATTTTTTGGATGGTAAAGTCTTCAAGATAGGAACTGTGCCTTCATGTATACTTGTTCAGCATCTATGCCTAGGCTCCTGATCTTGGTTGTAATACTCCTTGGCAAATATAACCACTATCACTTCAGGCTTGCCTGGGTATACTTTGAGGTAGCTACTCTTTAGACAGGTGTTGGTCACGTGCAAGCATTTTGATATCTTTGGTCACTGACCTGTCCCTCCATTTGTCCAGGTAGCCTGGCAGTCTTACTGCAGTCATCACTGATTCTGGATACAGGTTGCAACAGTAGTGAACAATGGTTTTTTCTCCAACGTGTCAGGAAACTGTCTCTTCCTTTTAGACGAGGATCTGGCCATAGCGATCTTTGTATTCACCTCATTGTAATTTACTGTACCTGGGCTGAAAGTGAAGAAAACACAAACCCCAGTTTGTACAGAATGTAGTAGCCCATGTTCTCAGAAATTTTTCCAGCTGAGCACATATATCATGTGATTTGCGCATGTGACAGTGATTTGCACCCTCTATAATGTCTCCTTCCAATGCTCTTTTCAAATCTTTGGCCTTTCAGGCAGAAACGGGTTTGGGGCCTTGCCACATCTTTTCACAACCCACAGTGACAGCTGCTTTCATAGTGTAGCTAACTGTGGCCAGGTCAAAGTTTGAGGTTCCTGGAGCTTAGTCAAGGGCCCTTGTCCATGGAAAGCCCCACTTGAAGAAATATGTCTGAGTCCAAGCATAACCGTTTTTACAGCACTGAATGAGACTTGCTTTTTTGCAAAAATGTTGCTGCAATAAATGATGGAGAGTGGGAATTGGCAATAAGCAAAGCAGCTGAATGTAGGAAAGACTAACAGCGAGGCCACTATGGACAACTCTGTGCATTTTAATTACAGATAATACAGTGGTGGGCACATTTGAAATAACTACAGTATAAAACGTTTTGGAAGTATCAGTTGCCACATTTGAATTGGAAACTATGGTTTGCACTGCAGCCTTGGTTGTACAAAGCTGATCCTTCTGTCCCTTCAGTTACTATGTTATTCCCTTCCCCTAATTACTTCATGTTCCTTCAGTTTACCTACCTTGCCCTGTCCTCAGCTGCTGCATTCAACACTATTCCTTGCCCCTATCTCCCTCACCTTTTTCTGTTACCTTCATAATTGCACTCTGCTGGTCTTGGAGAACTGGTGGTAACTAGCTGTCTGAGCAGCTAGATTCCAAGGCAACACTAACGGCTTCTTTCCCTTAAAATGATGCAGGAGGGTGCCCTAAATAACACACTAGGGATTCTGTATAAATTAAATGATTCTACCACTCTGTTCTTTTGGTACTTTATCTCTTGCTTTTGTGATTTTTAACTGTTGGCAATTGAATGCAGTATTGAAGAAAATAGCCCTCTTGTCAATAGCTGGTGGTTTAGAATTTGTAGTGTCCACAGCAGTATGTTAATGACCTGATTTGGAATGCTGGAAGCTTAGCCGCACGATTACTTCATTGCTAAGCAACACATAGTCTAGTTAGTTGAATTGTATATGTTGCTGCTGCAAGTGTTTCTACATTTAAAAAAGAAACAGATTTCTTTCCAATCCTGATAACCTCTTGGAGAGAGTATGTGGTTTTTTTTTATGGACATATATAAATAGTGTCTGGATATTACATACACGCCTGTCCAATACCTATATAAATAGGTGTGTGTTTATGGACCAATATAGATAAATAGTGTGTGAATATTACATACTTGCCTATCCAGTACATTTATATTAATAAGAATGTGTGTGGGTGAGAGAGAGAGCATGTAATACAGACATTCTGCACTGTTCATATAGTGCCATAAAGTGTGGAGTACTTTTAAAAATAAGACGCTGTCTGGCTCCAGTGGCTTGAAAGAGAGCAGTAGTTTGAGTCGCACATGAGAGCTGCATTAAGGTTAAGCAGTTGGAATGCTGCAGATTTCTTTAATGTCAGCTGTAGTAAAATAGTGGTATTCACTGTTTGTACGAGCAGTGCTTTTTTGCTTCTAAATACTCACTCTGAGTAGAAACTGGTGTAACATATTCTGAATCTGCAGCGATTTGCAAATTGAGCTCACATAGCATGTATATATATATTTGTGTGTACGTGTATGTATTGAGTGTAATGTGCTTCCTGGACAGGTATCATTGCCTTTTTTGCAAAAGGATAAACTACGTAAAAGTTGGGGGAAGTGTTAATGCAGATTCTGTTCTGATCGTCCTCTGTGTTTCGTCCATTCAGAGTAAAACAAAAAAGGATGATTGTGTGTAATTCTAATAACTTTATTTTTATAGGATCTTGTCAACACTGGACTCAGCACTTTCTTCTTTTTCATTGCATCTGTAGTACTTGCTGCTTTGAACCATAAAACTGGAGCAGAAATTGCTGCTGTGGTAAGAAAACAATTCAAATGTCTTTACTCTTGACAATTATTTTTCATCAGAAGTAAAGGGTGACTTTTTCCTGCACCCCATTGGATATTTCCCTCACCCTTGCTCACATATCTCTATACACTTTTAATGGTTATCATCTACATATTTTTGGCTAGTAGCGATGTTTTGATTTCAAGGAAATCCGCTCTCCCTCTATGACATGAGGTGATATTGGATGAACCCTCCCACAGACTCTCCCCCCAAAAGTTTTAATGGTAAGAGCCAAAGAAACTAAGTTTTAGGCTTAGTTGTTCAGATATTCTATAACTTTGAATGGTCATTTGTAAATACGTTATTTATTACTTTTAATAAAAGGTTACAGCTATGCATGAAATCAGGTTCATTTTAAAGTTGTTACAGAAAGTCTTGCAAAATTCTCCTTGCATACTCTTTAGTAAGTTTTTCTTTTATGGGTGAGTAAAAGAGTATTCATTTTTTATTACCACAACCATCATAAGGGCAAGTGAATCGATTTGTGCCTGAACTGGCAAATGTTAATGAGTTTTGCAAGGCTGGGTATAATAATTACTCCACAGAATTTTGCAGGGATGAAGTTGAGGAAAAGTAAAAATTAACTCCTTATTTCCTGTGCTTTGAGGGGCCTGAACTTGGGACAATGATCTCTTCCCTCCTTGCCATTCAGTGCCATATGGTAGAGTAGCATTATTTAACTTTCATTGCTTCACAGCATAGTAGATAAGTGAGAGTGGAATTCTCATTGTGGCACTAGGTCATTTATGTTTGCATCACTGTCTTGAGGCCAGGTTAGCTCTATAGTGATCAAAATCACTACCATTTGCTGAGTGTTTGTATAAGCAATAAGTTGGTAGCTTCTCTCTCACTCAGTTTCACAAGATCCACAATCTGTGTTTGGCATCCTTGTTAAATCCAGCAGAAAAGTCGAGGATTTAATGGGGAAAGAACTATCCTGTCTTGTTTAGAGGTCCCTTTGACATGAACATTGTCTTGTATTGCCAATGTCAAGGGTGTTCTGTGGCTAGAGACCTTCAATCTTTAAGATAATTAATCCAGTACCTTTCACAAATGGTAAAATTCTTTTAAAATAAAAGGCATTGGAGCTGATTTTTATAGGCCACAACAACGTGTCAATGCTAAGTACAACATCAAGCTCTAAGGGTTTTGTTGTGAAACTGTTTCCATTTTTGATTTGGAAGATTGCCTTTGACAAAGTTTTGCTGCTGTTTCTTTTAGATATTTGGTTTCTTGGCGATGATAGTGTATGCTGTGAATATGTATTTAGCTGTTAAAAAATGGCGAATGAACAGCAGACAGCAGAACAGCCGGCAGACAAATGATTACATTCGTGCTCGGACAGAATCAAGAGAAGTAGATCACCACCCTGAGATTCAGCGTCTGGATGTGTGAAAACTACAGCTGAGTGGGACTGCAAAGAGGGGATAGAAACCATCAACGTTTTATTTTGTCTCATCAAGTGAAGTTTATATAGTTTGAAGTTTTCATTTTTTAGGAAGAGTCTTGGCAGAGATAAGCTGACCATTTATATGTACAGAGAGAGAGGTCAATCTACATTTATTCAGCTATTGGCTTGAAGGCTATAATTATTGGTCATTCAAAAACATGATCTATATACAATGATTACATATATATCTGATGTATGTTAATATTTTAGATTAAACATCTGTATAGTACTTCTTTCCAGGTACCAGCTCTAGAGAGACATGTGTACTCTGCCACTATTTCATCACCCAGTAGGAATGTTATGATCAACACTATATTGTTCTGTTAAAAGAAAGAAATCCTCCAAAACTTAAGTACATTTTATTGCATATGAAAAGAAATTGAGGGACAAATAGCAATAACATAAGCCAGCTTTAGCATACACAAACACTTTATACACTTCCTCATGCAGCTTTGCCAATGCAATTCACTTCTCACCTGCAAGACCTCCCACAGTTCCATCCTTGGTGCATTTGGTAGCTGAGACAGGCAATCACGTCAGATATTTGGGCTGGTGGATTGGTGATATGGACAGACACACTATGGACTATACCAAAACCACCAAACTCATTTCATGTATGACCTCAACCAGATTTTGAAATGGGGCTCCTACCTGTGAAAGACTAGCTCTTTCACCTGCTGCAGTCAACACAGCCCAACACTAGTATGTAGGTATCTACTCGTGTTTGAATATGTATTACATGATTTTCATTCACTAAATACTTTTGGGGGGTTTGTCAAGTAATAGACTCTACACCCCAAACATGGTTCAATTTTTGTTCCGAGGTTTTGTCATCTGGGAATTTTAAGGAAATCGGGAGCCACCAAAAATGCATGATGTATATATTGTAGGGTATTCCAAGACTACGGAGTTGTGTTTTGTGTAGGATAAATACATTTTATGGCATATTCTGGTTTTAGATTGGTTGTTCTGTTAAATTAAAATTGGTTGGTAGTAGATAAAATAATTTGGTTTAATGCCTAAATTGGGCATAGCTATAAAACATTTTTATAATGTTCCTTTGAAGCTAATTTTAGGTAATGAGGACGTATGGGTGGTTGAACCTATTGTTTTTCTCTGTTAGCTTCTCATGTTTACAGACCATTTTCCTAGCTCAAATTTTCTCACTTCCATTGAACTTTCAGTGAAGAGAAGACTGTATTCTCTGGTTAGAGAACTTGAATTCTGCAATAATATGTCTAGAACCTCAGTCATAATTTTATTAGGGAAACTTCACCAATATCTTATATGCTCTGTGATTCATGTGTGTCCCATGTAATAATGGGTTGGCATATGGACATGTGTTTACAACAGCTTTCTCATTTATTGTAGATGGGAACACAATACCACGCCACCCCCTAGTGGAGTCAAGATATAAACCTGATGTACATGAGTAAAATCTTCATGGAAGTCAGTGAAGTTGTATACACACACACCAGATCTGAGTTCGTTCCACAGACTTTTAGCATTGTATTCATGTGTAACTATTCCCAATATGGGTTGATGTTTACACCAATACATAGTTGGAATCATAAATATAAGACACTATTAAGTCAATTTTAAGTGAAAAATGGAGATTTTTTTTTTCCTAACAGAGTTTTACCAGTCCTAATGTTAATAGAAATGTTTACATGAAACTTTATTTTTGGAATTCCAAACGAAACAGGCAAGGCTCTAGATTTGAACATTCTGCACTGTTCATTTCTCAGGCAAAGCAAGACTTGTGCTGATGCATGAAAACCAGAAAGTGAAACTGTTTCTCTTTTGTCATTCTCCAACATGTTTGCTCTTTGCAATCATTCCACATAAACTAGATTTTTCTAAAATTCTGTTTTAATAATTAGATTAGAGGAAATTGATGGGTTTTTTAAAATCTGATAGTGGTCTTTTTATCATATTACCATATTTAATGTTAGATTTTACATTTCACTGACAGTTGTAACTGAAGGGAGTGCTGAGTTTAGAGTCTAATAGTTCAAGTTCTAATGATCCTCTAGAGTGGTTAAGAACATAGCCATTTTATTAATTAATTCTGGTGAAGGCTAGCTTTAATGGGGTGTCACATGAAAACCAACCCATAACTCAGTATGGTTAGCAGTGCTGAATGGTGGTGTGCACAGTGCCCATTGGGTAAGCTGTTTTTCAGCATGCTGTGCCAACTGTTGGAGGGATGATATAATTGGGGTAGTTTGTAGATGCTGTGGTTTAAGAAAAAAAAAAGAATATCCATAAACCTTAAAAACTAAACACAGTGATCTTTAGGGTAGACTTGCAGCTTAGTTTAAAGGAATATACTGAAATGTTATCAAAACCCTCAAAAAAGGGATTCGGAGGATGCATTATCCAGCACCATATTAATACTTCTGCTGAAGACAAGTAATAGAGGAATCCAGTGTATGGTATAACAACAGACTTTTCAACATAGCAAAAGTGTATCCTGTTAGCTGATCAGTAAAAGGAATGAAATGATATATTATACAGTCCCCTTGTGCTTTTCTAGCTAATTTCTGACCCGAAGTAATGTTCTGGTTACTTGGAGATCTAGAGAGTGATCCATTTACAATTTTATGTACTTTCTTGGTATCTTTTAACATTATGTGCATTTTACTGCATGGGAAAGGAGGGAAAACTGCCTAGCACTTTGTCAGTTAGATCACAGAAGGTTTCTGTTAAAGTACATGCTTGGTCTGGCTAGTTAATGTGAATTACTTTTTTCCCCAGTAATCTGATGTAATGGTCTCTAGTATAGTATATTGTCCAATCAAATAGCAAATGTATGATATGGTTACGCATGAGATACAATGGCTTTGATGTGCTGAGTACAAAATATCATTATTTATTATTTACACCATGATTACATGGTCAGCACAATTATGGAAGAAGATATAAAGTTTTTGAGATGAGCTAGGACAGAATAAAAATTTTAAAAACCTGCTTTCTGAACACAAATTTTAAATAACTGTAAACAAACTGAAAAATAGATGTAACTTCCTTATTACTTTTGGGACCAAAGATGATTTTAGTGTTGTATAGATAGTTTTAAAAAAAAGTGTAAGTTAGAGATTTGTTAGTCTAGGAAAACGTTATTTATGAATGTCATGTAATTTGAAGGGGATGGATTCATTTGACTTATGATAGAAAATTAAAATTCATATATTGATATCCTACAGTATGTACACAGTGATTTTGGTTTTTCCAGACTGGATTTTGTACTGTGGCATAATGAAATATCAGCATCTTGCCAACACATTTAAAAAAACTAATAACCAAAATGCAAATACTGATATTGGCCTCTATGTGAAAAATGGGGCAGAAAGTTTAACTTTTGTGAAACTTGCACAGGAAACTCATGTTAAAGTGCTTCCCCCTATCAGATTATGGTTTTGCTTTACTACTGGTTAGTCTCACTTTGAACCGTTTGTTAAACATAAAGGGACCACTTCCCTTCGTTCACAAGAGAGCTACTTTGCTCCACAAAGGGATCCACAACATTGTAAATAGAGCTCAAATTAAAACCAGACCATTAAACCATTTCCCAACGATGTGGAAATGTGGTGCTTGAAATTGTCTTAGGCATCTGGGCATTCTTTCCGAGGCAAATCCTGTCCTCAGATATGCTATTCCAATGTATTTCAGTGTGTATGTGTAGCTGAGGGGAAAATTTGCCACATCTGTGCACATCCCATAAGTAGTGCCCTACCAAATTCACGGTCCATTCTGGTAAATTTCATGGCTGGGGGCGGGTTTAAAATAGGTCAGCTTCACCTTTTCAGATGTTTACGTCTGAGATTTCACAGTGTTGAAACCGTTAAGGTCCCTGACCCAAAATGAGATTTGGGGGGTTGCAAAGCTGTTGTGGAGGGGTCGTAGGATTCCCACCCTTACTTCTGCGCTGCCTTCAGAGCTGGGCTCTGTGGAGCTTCCTTCAGCTGGGGGAGGCACCCAGAGGTGGGTCTGATCGCTCCCTCTTCCCTCTCCAAAGCTGCTATGCAGGGGAAGAGGATGTCTTGTCCCTCCCCAGACCAGCTGGGATTAGCAGCTAGGAGCCCCTGGCCAGGGCGGTCCCAGCAGCACAGGGGAGATCAGACCCACCTCCATCTCCAGGAACCTCCTTAGGCTGCAGGAAGCTTGGTGGCTGCTGTTTGGGCTCTGAGGGCAGCATGGCAATGGATCTTTCTGGAGCCGGGAGAGGTACCTAGAGGTGGGTCTGATCTCCTCCCAAGATCAGCTGTGCAGGGGAAGAGGAAGTCCTGTCCGTCATCACCCGGACTATCAGCAGGAGCCCAGTGCATGGTAGGAACCCCCCGCCGAGGCTCCCCCAGCCCTGCTCTTCTTCCCTCCCCTCCAATAGCTACATTTCACTGGAAAGGTCTGATTTCACGGTCTGTGACATGTTTTTCACAGCTGTAAATTTGGTAGGGTTCGACCCATAAGAGAAAATGAATGAAATAGACAACTAATGGTAGCAGCAGCTACACGTGCGGACTTCTGGTTTGGTTTGTTTGTTTGTTTTAAATAGTTCCTTACACGGCTTTCTCTTCAATACCATATTCAATTTTGTCAGCCTGGCCACTTGCTCATCTTGTCACATTCTCTGTAACTATAGCAACATGGAAACCACTCTCTACCATAGAAATAATGTTGCAAGAAAGCTAGTAGGAACAGAATATTTGGTAATTTACTTGCCTAGTAGCGAAGGTGGTTCTTCTTGCCTCCTCTCCCCCCCTCATGGAAATCACCTAATAATTATCTTGTTTCACTAGGGAAGTTTTTGTTTTCCCTCCCCACCAAACTAAATGGGGTTTGGCTCTGCCTTTAGGAAGATGAGGGCAGATTGTCCAGCACTTTCTCTTTATTTAGTTAAGTGCTTCCCTTTGAGATTAATTTGGTGTTTTTTGCTCCCTCCAGAAATTTGGAAGCTGTGTGGTGTACCCAAGTCCCTGCCTAGTTGTGTTTCTCCTGTAAATCATGTCTTCTGTCAGAAGCACTGGCACAGAGGTGAAAAGAATTGAAGATCCTTTCTCTTTTCCAGAGAGAGAGACAACTAGCTGTGAGATTTCATGCCAATGCTTCAGAGGACCCCAAGCTCTCTAGCACTTGATGGTTCTGAAACAGTGACCCTGGTCCCACAATGTCTGTGCTATCCATCCAGTCCTTGTAGCCTTTTGAATACAAGTTATAGCTTGGTTGGCTGTGGTAGCAAAGTTTATTACTCTCTTGTTTCTTGGTGGTAGATTGTCTGTTAGGCAAAGACGTGAATGACATCAGAAAGGAGCTTTAAAGAGCCTTAGTGTTCCATCAGGATTGGCAGATAAAGCTCTGTTTGAAATTAACTTTCCATTAACAAGGGAACTACTCTTCCTTTTAGGTTTTGTATCACATAGCTTAGTTCCGTAGCCCATCACTTAAAATGGTCTGGACCATTTTTATTCTCTCTGCTTGTACCTGATAGTTAATTTTGGTGGGAAGTGGGGAGAGATGGACAGCTGGCTATCTTCAGTCTCTTCTAAATCAGTTTCAGAGAAAAAAAAAAAAAGGAGACAACCAATATTTGAGGTTGACTCGCGGGCCTGCCCAAACAATTGGGTAGTTCTAAGGCCACAAACCCCCCTTTCTAAACAGTGATTGTCTCAACTCTTCTTTCTGGGGACTGCTTCGTAAGATAAAGATCCTGGCATGGTCCTGCCCTGTTACTGCAAGATCCACTGGGTCTTACAATACTCTCATTCATACTACTAGATAGAGCTCTGTGGTCTGGACTACAGTTTGAGAGTTGCTGTTCTAGACAACGGACCCAGGTAGTCCTGTGCAACTGGATTGTAGGATTAATCACTAAAGTTTTCAATGAAATGTCCAGTTTGGCCTCCCTAAACAAGTGAAGATTTTCCCTTATGCTACTTATCCCTTCTGTTACGTTGGTTTGAGACAGTGCAAGTGGTGCTTAACTTACCCACATCACATAATTTTATCAATACCAACTTTGTTTTTCAACAGGGAATCTTTTTCCGGTCTTAAATCTCCCCACCACTGTGCCTAGTATCTTCTTTTCTGACTCTCTTTTTAATGAACATTCTTTCATCCATTTCCTTTCTGGGGGTGGTAATTAATATTACAGTGGTTCTTGAGCACCCGTCACAAAAAGCCTGAGGCACGCTGCATTTCAAACACTATTAAAAATAGCATCAGCCATCCTCCTTCAGATGTGATGTAAAGACTGAACAGTTTTTCAAGTCTAAATAGCATAAACATGATAACCTCTAGAGCCAAAGGTCTTTGATATTTAGGACAAATAAATAGTCTGGTAGAATCTGACCATGAACCTAAGAAAAATCTGTTAATGCTTTTACATAACTCTTTATTTTCCAAGTGATGTGTGAAATTAATAATCCTCAATGCCCTTGGGAAGGAGAAGGGTGGTGTTTTCTGCATTTCACAGAAGAGGAGACAGAGAGTGAGTCAATGGTAGAAACAGGTTTGGAAATCTGGATTTTTTTGTTCCCAACCCCTAGGTCACATCCCATCACTAATCAGGAAATAAGATACTAAATCAGAGAGATTCTGTGCTTGTGAACAGTATACTTTAAAATCTGTGTCAGAGCTGTGTTGTTATATCAGTCAGTGTGGTTATCGAATAACCCAATTAAAAGCCAGTGGTTGGTCAAAGGAGTCACTACAGAATGCAAGTACTGCTTTCACCAGAAGGGTGAATGTGCCCCATGTTAGGCACTGATCTGGCAAAGTTTTACATACTGCGTAGTCCTATTAAAATCAAAGCTATTTACATTGTGTAAAGTTGAGCAAGTGTGTAGGTCTCTGCAAGATCAGGATACTTAGTCCCTCGCTACGAGCCCTATGCATAATGTGGTGCACTGCTGGGATTGCCTTAGAGTCAACTAAGGATCAGACACATTATGCAGAGATAGAAGGTTGTTTTTTAACTATTGTGTTTAAACCCATTTTAGGCCTCATGGTCATAAAAATATCATTTTGAAAGGAAACTGAAATATGTACGAAAATAGCAGAATGCTGTAATGTTTGTCAAAGTAAGGATCTGGAAAGAAATTGTATTTGAAAACTGCTAATAAAAGTGGTAGAGAGTTCTTCCTTTCAGTAGGGGAAATTACCAAGACTCAGAAGCAGGATTAAGTTAAATCGCTCTTTACGAATTATTTCTCCTTATTCAAGAATTGGTTGGATACTTCATTAGAATTTTTCTTATTAGCACTGTCTTTACTATCGCCATAGTACCCATCATCCACTCACAGGAGCAGAGAGGTTTCAAATTTGACTGGGAGAGTAGGAGGATACAGTCTAGCCCTAAAATTTATTTTTTGTGTAAAGTTAAAAGAAAAATATCTTTGTCCCTAATGTAGCCATTGATGTTCATGAAACACACTTTTAAAAGAAAATCTACTCAGGCTGTGATTTTATGATATGCTTTGATTAGAATCGATAACACAGGTCAAGTTTGTTTAGGGACATGCAGGTTTCAAAAGTGTTCTTCTTTATGCCTCTAAGTGAAAGTCACCCATTTCTCTCCAAAAATGTGATGAAGTACATCTTGCACAGGCACACACTATAGTTACCTATTCACAATCCCACTGGAACTCTTTCAGCTCTGCTGGATGAATGATCTCGTGAAAATTTGTCTTTTTAGTAGCAATGGGCTAATAAATATTTTTTTTATAACTAGTCACAGGTGTTGGCAAAGAAAATATTTAATTTTGTTTTTATATAGAATATAGGCAGTTACCTTGATTGACAAATTTATAACACAGAGCTTTGAACTGACTATAAAGGTTTTCAGTCCCATGGATTTCATGAGCTAAGTAAAAGCTAATTAACATATAGTGAAGGATATGGAAATAGTCCTAAATTCATAATGAAGACTTAAGAGCATTTGAAAAGGCAGTGTCCAGATCTTGTAAACAGGTTTTTGGGGTTTTGTTGGGGCTGGTCCCTTCAACTATATTAATAACTTCTGAATGTGAAATACTGAGGGAACAGGATGAAATATAAACATCTGCTTCTTTTGACTTGCAAGGACCTGATGAGTATCCAGAACATGGTAAATTTCAGGGTGTTGTTTTTTAGACAAATGTCTGAATAGACATATTTAGTTGAAAGCTTCACATTTGAAAGGAAATATCTATAACTAGTTTGATTTTAGTACATTTAGTAATCTTTTAATCCCAAAAGTATAATAGTCTAAATATTTTAGCAATGCTATATTGTTCCTGAAGTCTATAGGTTTAAAGTGGTTCCAGCTAGCATCTTGTATTTTGAAAATTGGCTACCTTCAATTTTCTTCTTTTTATACTTTTAGATCTTGAATGTTTACTGGTTCCTAGTGATTGGATATTGTGGAGGGATAGTGCATCTTATCGCTACCATTCATGCAGCTTTAAATCACATTGCAGACCTATAGTGAGAGAGTACTTTTTATTTGTATTGTGATCAATTTAATGCATTTTAAAATAATTGCTATATTTAAAATACAACACTTAGGACATCCTAGAATGAATGATATAGCTATTTGAAAGGTGTTCTGTTGGCCAGGTTTCTCCTCTTCTACATTAGTGTCCATTGAAACTGTTTGTATATGTTGAAGTTTGTAAGGGTTCAGGAACCCAGAATAAAATAGTAAAGTATGTATTTATTACTCACTTTATTGCTCAGTTTTGATTTGAAAAGTTGACATTTGTTATGTCTTTTCACATACTTGTAAACAAATATTGGAAAAACTACTTCACCTAGGGTGCCTTCCATGTTTGGTATAAGTACTTTGTCAGTCATAAAGACAGAAATGTAATGTATTAAACCAGTAAACACTATTTTTGTAACATGGCTTACTAACACATTTCCAGCTTTGTGTTTTATTGTCACTAACAGTAGCCTTAATGGTAACCACAGCCATTTTTTCCTTTTGTACACTAATAGTAAAGTTCTGAGTTCAAGGTGGAACAGGAAAATTGTACCTATTTTGCTCTGCTGTGCCCAAAACTGTAACCTGAAAAGTGAAAACAACTCAGACTAACGGAGAAATATATTTGAAAATACTTCTCTCCCCCCTTTTAAGACATGCCTGAAGAGATCCCCATTTGTGGGATGCATATGCAACCCTGATGCTGAATCTGAGCCCCAACTGAGGTTGATCCAAACATTCCTGCATCTAGACCACTACTTAAGCTAGAATATAAATTTTAAAAAGAAATATCTTGTCTTGGCTGAAAGACTTTAAGTGACAGGAAATCCATTCCTATGCTACCAGAGTTGTAAATATGAACAGCAGGAGGTTCTGAAATTTCCATTTAGAATAAATTTTTTTTTTTAATTTTCAAATCTGTGTGTAAGTTAAATCAGAGTTAAAACTATCTGTCTTTGAACTTGCAGACTACTGGGTTGGGCAAAGTTGGTCCACTTTTCCTTTTAATATTCGCAAAACTCCCCTGTGTGATACCCTTGTGTGTTTCCCCTTTTGGATAAGGAAATTGTAATTTTCTGCCAAGGAAAATACTTTAAGCATTTTCGTATGTGCCACTCCAAATTCAGGGCTGATTCTGCAGCCCTTACTCAGGCAAAACTCCCCATTGACTTCAAGGACCGTAGGCTCGGGCCCCCATGTGATTATCTTGCCTTCATGTATAAAAGCACGTTCTGACAAATGAATTTTTAGTTTTAAGAAAATTGCATTCAAGCAAAATGTTATGTTTAAAGTTCATTTACAATCTGATACAATTTAACTGTATTTTTGGTTGGTGTTCTTATATCTATTTTAGATCAGCAAAAAACCACAAGTAAGATGGTCAACAAACAATATTGAAAGTTTCTAGCACAGGTACTTACCCTCTAATCCAAACTGGTGTCACCTTCTTCACAGTATCAATAACTAATTTCACCTGATACAGTAAGTGTAGTAGCTGTCAGGCTTTTCATGCAAAGAAATTCTATTGATGCTCTGGACAACTTTAAAGGCAAGAAAATTATACACGAACAAACGCTTCCTAAACTTGTTTTATAGAGGCAACTGATATTCTTTTATGTTATGCACTTCTTTTCTTTTTTAATTAATGTTCTAGTATAAACAAAAGTTGAAGGATTGTAATAAATTTACTAATGTGATATAGAAGGCAATCTCTAACTTGCTGTTTGATCTTGTCTATATGTTTTTAAAACACATGCCTTTATAACACAGCTTAAATGGTGTATTTTATCCGTTTTAAATGTCATTTTGCTTATTCAGTGTTTTGTATATGGGCACAGTAATTTTTTTTAATTTTCCAATTTAAAATGTAGTATTTGTGCTGCCTTTTGAGGTCGCTGTTGTCTCTTGGCTAGCTTTTCCCTTTGTTCTTTTGATAGATAATGAGCTCTCCAGATTTTCATGGTACTCTTCTGATTATGTCTTCCTAGTGGTAAAATCTGTATTTTTGTATGTAGGGAAAATAGTTTTCTGAACACTAATTTCTGATCAGTATAGTACGGAATCATTTGTGAAGGATTTCTTGTTTAATAAATGGACATGTTAAAGTGTTTAAAACATTTTGTTGTCATCTGTAAATGTAATGTATAAATTCAGTATTAGGTATCCTGGCTGGTTATTTATCATCTTTGCTGATGATTATCTGAAATTGCCATCTACTACTACAGCAGGTGTAAACTGGTTTATTAGTTGGATGCTTAAAGAAAATTGTTGTGATTCAATTGGTGAGGACGATAAAGCACCAGGAAAGAGATTCTTTGTGGATAAGAGAGTTGTTAAAACACAAACAAACACGTAAGTAGTCCCTGTAAATTCCATGTAGCAGAAAGCTCAAACAGCCTAGTTGCCAAGGTGTGTGTTTGTGGCAGGGACTCTTTTGAGGGATTTTTTGTCCTGTACAATGAAATGCTATTACTGACTTGTAAATAAGCCTGAGACTGAAATCCTAGAGGAAATGGATAACTTTCTGCCACCTCAGAGTGAAAGTGGCATGAGCTATTATCCTAGGAAGTGGGAAGATGAATTTATTTATTGCTTAGATGCTTCAGGCACGATATGAAGGCATTGAGTCTCTGAAGGCAAAAAGCTAGGGGAGGACACCTTGGCGGATCTGCTCATTGAATGAATGTTGTGAAAAACTCTGGGAAGCTTGGGAGGCACTTTATAAGGTACCTGTGAGGGATCACTTGAGAGTGACAGGTGGTTGGGAGCTCTTTTTTAAGCCCTATATCCACCACAACCCTCTAAGCTGGATGAATCCCTTGGGGAGGGACTCACTGAGGAGTGTCAAGCACTGGTGTGATGTGCTTTTTTCCAAAATGTACCACTTAAAATATGACCTGCTATAAGATAGACCAGTTGCAATTTCTGTATGGGCTTCGCAGGTAACCTGAGCTAGAGATGCAATAGCTGGGGAATGATGAAGTCAGCAATGGGATTTTATTTGTTTTGCTGTAGCATGTAGGAGCCTCAGGCACAGATCATGATGCCATCGTGCTAGATGCTGTACAAAAAGATCAAAGAGATTTAATGCTGGGCAACAGGGGCAGGTTGCTGCTGGCATTGTAACCGGCGGTGTGTGGTGATCACCACAAGAGGTCTTGCCTGGCTGTTGTGTAGAAAAAGTGAAATTTATATTCTTAATTTAAATTCTACTACTTCCCCCCCCACCCCCACCCCGGAGAAAAGTTGACTTCTGGTTTAGTAGAACAGATTAACAGACTACCGGTCTCATTTGATTTTCATTTTTGGATACTGTCAAACAGCACAAACAGTCCCCTGCTCAAAGGAAACATCTTTTCATTTGTCATGTTTTTAAAAATATGTTTGCAGTGGTGTAAAGGAACACCATGAAAAATAAAAACCCTTCTTAAACTCGTTTGAATTCCCTGGACACTGTTTAACCCTGTGTTTCTAGTGAGTTTTGAGGCTGGGGCTACCAGAAGCATCCACTAGTACTATTCACGTTGCAAGTTTTTACAACGATCCAGCAAAGCACAGGCCATAAATACAGGTTATGAAATCTGTGACTAACCAATGAACTTGATCAAGGGCATAGTAAAATCAGTTTGTCTGCACTTTATCCAGAACTCTAAATTGCCTGCTACTTTGAAAGGTGCCAGATTAGTGGGGTTGTGGTTCTCAAATACAGCAGTCTGAAGAAACATTGTTTCTCACTTAATGTATTGGACATGCCCCCTTGGGTGGAGAGTTGAGATACAAATCACAAGATGGACTTCTAGAGTTGTGATCATCATACCTCAATTTTCTTGCCATGAAATGTGAAATTCTGGGGTGTAACTGACAAGAGTCTTCTCAATGTTTTCTTAAACACTTATTTGGTGTCACACAGCTGGCAAGCCCGTAAGGCAATTGACAGTCTAAAAAGGCTCTATACAAAGGGCTTGAGTTCCATGCCAGGTAGTGTTCTTATGCTATCATTTGTACAACGACGACTCAGGAGACTGGAACAAAGCCTCCCCTGGCAGGAATAAGGTGCAGAGATAAAATAGCGAGAGAGCCTTGTGAAGTCAACCAAATGTGGTATAAATGGAGACTTCCTTTATCTCCTTACCTATAACTTTGACAATCCTGTGAGTGGAGTTTTAAATTGTGAGTAAGTACATTGTCTTTACATGTAAGTTCACTCTGCATTTGCTATTGGAAGCTTGCTTCTCTTCCTAGCCTCATTTGTTGTGTATTGTTGCTGAGTGCTGTTCCAGAATTGTGGAAATTCAAACTAGAGAGCTACACTTCAGTTGTAGGTGAAGTGATACCTATATCAGCTTGTAAATGCTTTAACCTTAATTATTGTTATTGAACTAAGATGTCTGGGGGTTAGAAATGCAGAAAGCAGCAGTATGATCATAACAAGCTGTTGATATGACAATTTCAGTAAAAGAAACCGCTGCACTCAGAATAACAGTAGATTCCCTCAAGGTTGGATTCTTCAGGGGTTCTGAGCAACCAGAAGTCCCATTGACTTGAACTTGTCAAAAAATCAGAACTTTAGTGGAGCATGGCTAGCCCCAAGCATTCAAAAATCTTGAGTCAGGCCCCAAAAAATCATGATTGGCTTTAAAAACACATTACTTTAAAAATGATAAAATTTGGGTTCCCGTTATCTGACTCCTGGGTTTTCAGAGTTAGATTTTTTCATTCTCTTCCCCCCCCCCCCCCCCCAGCCACTATAGGAGCTATAAATTTTGTAAATGACAACTGACAGTCTCACATAATAACATGACTCCATGAGCTGAGGCTTAAGAAAAACACCAAATATCTCAACAATAAATATAAAATTGTGACAGCAAGCAATACAATGTGATCACTTGATGATTAATTGTTCTGATCATAAAGTGATCATAAGTGCCGACTCTGTGGGTGCTCTGGAGCTGGAGCACCCACAGGGAAAAATTAGTGGGTTCATTGCACCCACCAACATCCAAGCTCCCCTTCCCCCCGATCCTCCACCTACCTCCCAGCATTTCCTGCCCAGCTGTTTGCACACTCCAGGGGGGTGGGGGAAGAGCAGGAACGTGGCACACTCAGGAGAGGAGGCGGAGACGGGGAGATTTGGGGAAGGAGTTGGAATAGGGGCAGGGAGGGGGCACAGTTGGGGCGGGGACTTTGGGGAAGGGGTGGGGCCTCATGGAAGGGGTGGGGTGGAGTGGGGGCAGGGCTGGGGGCAGAGTGGGGGTCGACCACCCACAGAAAAGAGGGGAAGTCGGCGCCTATGAAAGTGATACTGAAATACCTTAGTATTTTTGTATGCGTCTCTTGATTTTGAGAACATCAGCATAAAAGCCACTATTTTTAACTTTCATTTTGTTTTGAGGAATAATTCCTGAATTCCAGAAATAGCGTGTGAATAAATTGCAAATCTAAAGAGCAGATTTGTTTACAAGAATGACAGTATCAGATCCCAAAACACACAGCAGCTTATTTACTTCCAAAGACTGCTGAAGATCATGACAACATTTCTGATGACATTCCTTTTATGCCTGGGTTAGAGGAGTGTGCCATTCTCCACAAAGATATAGCCTGAGCCTGCAATCTCCGAGCGCTGAGGCAGCACGTTTCTCACTGCCTCTTACAACGCTCTGTGCTAGCTGGCACAATTAACCCAAACTGTGTTATTGTATCTGGTTTACAGAGTGCAAGCTTATAAAATGAGATTGTAAAATAAAGAACATGTAAAGGAAAACACAAAACTCAGCTTCTGTTAAAGATAGTATAATCCAGGATGGTTTATAAATGTTAATCTTGGGCTAGTTTCCAGGGTTTCACATGCAGTACATAAAAAAAATAAAAAAAATTTAAAATTACAAAAAGAGAATGTAAAAATTACCACAGGTCCCTAACATCACAGTAAATGCCAGTAAATATATTACAGTAAAAGAGAGGCATGACAGAAATGCAGAATTCCACACTGGAAAAAGTCCAAAGGGCTCTTTTCTGAGATAAGTGATGATTACTTTGCATGTTCAGGAATAAACATTCATTGTTGTTACTCCTTCAGTGGTCTGGAAATGGGAATTGTGGAGAATGGGAAGGTTGTCTTTCAGATATCCCCTTGTTAAGCCAGACCATTCTTTCTGAAACATCTCTATGCTGCTCATTGGTACCTTACTGGCTGTTAGCCATCCAGAAGCTGCTAGCAGGTCATTGAAACACAAAATATGTTTATTCCCAGCAAAACCTGCCTTTATTGTTTTGGCTCTGTTTTCATTTACTCTATTGGTACCATCTGCTGTGTCATGAAGTCTTTTTAAAAAAAAAAAAAAAAAAAAGAGAGAAAAGAAGAAAAGCCACCAGTCCTGTGACTATATGAAATACTTGTTTAACATATGAGTTTCTTTGAAATAAGCATATCAAATGCTGTACATGGAGTTTGCCATTCTTTTAACTAAGTTATTGTTTGGGATGTATATATATGATGTCAGAAGGTGTGACTACTGCAGATAGGTTATGTTACCCTCTCTCTAACGCCTTTGAAATGCAGGCGTTTTTCCTGAAAAACCCACACCAAGGGACAAATCTGCCCTCTCAGAAAAACCAGAGAGGGCTGGGAAAGTGCGATTTGCTGCACTGAGATTTCTGTCAGGAGGCTCTCTACAGGGGAATGGCCCTTCTATACCACAAAAGCATAGATAAGGTGAGATTTGCAGAAGCCTTTTCAGAGTAGCAGCCGTGTTAGTCTGTATCCGCAAAAAGAACAGGAGGACTTGTGGCACCTTAGAGACTAACAAATTTATTTGAGCATAAGCTTTCGTGAGCTACAGCTCACTTCATCTTTGTCTCCATGTTATTTCCTCCATTATCTGTGGCAGCCTGACTATCAGGAGCTGTAAGCCCTGTGTTTCCCTACCTGGGCTAAACACTATTGACTGGAGGACTGATGTTAAAAGCATAGAGCAGTGGGCTCTTGTGCAGAAATCCTTACAGGCTTGATGGGGTAGGAAATGTCATGTGGATGGCTCTGAGCCAGGCCCATCTGACCATGCCCCCAAAACTGGAGCTAAACATGCAGACTACATGTAGAGGCTTCTGCAGTGGTGGTAGGAAGGGAAGGTTAAAACTATGTTTCTCATGCTCAGCCTCATCTTTGCCATAAAATTTGAAGGGCGTGATGTGCCCCCACAGAAGCAGATTAGAAAGAAGTTGATTTCTCCTCAGAAAATCTTACAAAATGACAGAAAACTGAATGTCCACTCAACTAGCTAACCTGAGGCATTTTCAGATTTGCTCATGTTGCAGATTTCCAGCTGCCATTTTCATGGTCACACATAGGCAGCAGCCATATAGTTAAATGCATTCTGAAACCTACAGATCCAGTATAACCTGCGCCTTCAAATGCTTCAGCTAGTGGAGGTAGTGAGACTTTAGATAAAGGAATACTGTTGGCTTCTTAATCTGGAAAAAATATAGTAAGAAAGCTCAGACTCGGAACTCTAGTGGAAAGTTTGAAATAGAGAAAGCGTATTAAAAGATAAGTCTGTTATAAGTTTGAAATAAGAAGTTCCTGTTACTCAGTACTTTGTAGTGCACTGAACAAGGGAGGGCCATGCAGAATTGAGATTCATGTTCAGACATAGATGTATCTAGGTACAAGGTTGCACACCTACAAAATGGCCAGTTTCCAAAGAAATGTTCTGTGACACTGAAATAGTCTTTTCCCCATATCACTGTGTCACTGGTTTTCGTGACTCTGTGAACAGTGATGGAAAAAGAGAGAGAATGTACTCGTGACTGAGACCAAAACAAGAAAGGGAAACATTTCAACTGGCAGTGCAGTTAGCAAATAGGAAAGAGATAGGTCATCTCTTCCCTTTGACTTCACAATCCATAGGTGTGCTGTTCTTCAGTCCGAATCCGAATCGGAGGCCTCATCTAAAAAAAGAAAGAAAGAAAGGGGGGACGGGTCAGTGAGAAAAGTGAAGCTGCAGGGTCACCTTTCACTCCTGTTCAAATAGATGTGTTGCTCTGTTTTAGGTGGCTGCTTCAAAGAAAATAGGATCTTAGGAGGATTTCTTTAGTTACAGTTTTTTATTTCCATACCATTGCAAATGGTTGTGGTGCTTCACAGTCCTGCCCAGGAGTTCGTTTCCGACAAATCCAATACAAAGAACAACAGTTCAAGTGAAAGAAGTTGCGGAGACAGAACCGGCTCTCGGCACCAGCGAAGCAAGCACGTACTTGGGGTGGCACAATTCCAGGGGCAGCATCCCGGCCACCCTTTTTTGGCTTGGGCAGTTGCGCTCTCGGAGCGGCAAATTTTTTGCTTGGGGCAGGAAAAACCCTAGAGCCGGCCCTGCGCGGAGACACCATGGGCAAGGTCACTGTGAAAAGGAAGCCTTCACGAAAGACATGAGTTCTATTAAAGACCTTCTACAAAATTTGTGCTGTCTTTTTTATAAGCCTTGTATTTTGCCAATGAGAGTACCCACTTCTTGCTTTTATGGTACTCCCTCGTCTTCCTAGAGGGCTCAGCTCCTATTCATACTGTGAATACAGTACATGAGTCTAGTTGAAGGGAAAGAATTAGAAAGCCCATGGGAATGCGTGACATGAAAATCTTTGAGGCTAACAGCTATTAGCTATTAAAACAGTCAGCGATACGTAAAAGACTAGAACCTTTTGGTGCAAAGAAGAAACTCCCTGGCAGTAAGATCTATTAGTCTGTGGAATAGTCTCCCAAAGGAAGCATCATCAGTGGGCACATTTAAAATTTGACTAGACAAAACACAGGGGATGCATTTTTTCTTAAAACAGGGTGGAGATTTAACTTTCTCTAATCAATAAGCCTTAGCCCTGGTCTACACTGGGGGGATCGACCTAAGTTATGCAACTTCAGCTACGTGAATAACGTAGCTGAAGTCAGCGTACTTAAATCGACTTACCGTGGTGTCTTCAACTCAGTGAGTCGACTGCTGCCGCTCCCCCGTTGACTCAGCCTGTGCCTCTCACGGCGCTGGAGTACAGGAGTCGATGGGAGAGCGCTTGGGGGTCGATTTATCGCTTCTAGACTAGATATGACAAATCGACCCCCGCTGGATCGATCGCTGTCCGCCGATCCGGCAGGTAGTGTAGACATACCCTTAGTTAATATGCTACTGACTGCAATGGCTTCGTACCATAGAATAGTTAACACACATGAGTTCTGGGTCACCACGAACAGAGTCTACATAGACTAGTTAATGCTGGGAACTCTCACATATCTGTCAAATAAGAGCCAGAGGTTTTGCTTGATCACTTGTAAAACATAAGGGAGGCATTTACCTACCTTCTGACTTTTGTGCTTCAGTGGCATTTTCGGAACCGCCTTGTTTGAGAAACGTGACCAGGTCATTAAAGGTAATGTAGAAATCAACAGCAAACACTATTGTGGCTATAAAGCCAAATACCTATACAACAGAAGGATAATCTCTTCATCAGCAGTTCATGTCAACCATCAATGACAAAAATGGGGTAACCTTAACTAACAATAGGCAAATTGTTGAGGAAACATGGGGCAACTGGAGGGGGGGCAGTAGGGCCAAGGTGGCTTTAAGCCACCTTTGCACCTACTAAATTATGAGAGTATTTGAGGGTCTGCCTAACAACTTGTGAGGTGGATCTAAAAGGGGGCTTCCCCCGGTCACCTATGGGTCATTCCACAGCTCAGAACAGCCAGAATGCTCTAGCCACATGCACCATGGAGCACCTGGCATGTCACTATGTCTGGAGATACAAAAGGTGTCCCACAGGGCCCAGCATGATTCTGGAAACCCCTTTGTACTGAAGGAATTCCCATCTGGGAGATCAAGATCATTTCCAGTCTCCATAGGCCTAGTTTTTGCCATTCTGCAAGGCCTTCTGCCAGGCTACTGATCTGCTGCTGAAAGCTATACTGGGTGCAGTGTCTCTGGAGCTGCCTATTTAAATTAACAGGACAAGGAGGCTGGAAAAAATGAGGCCATTGTAGCTAAGCAAGCTAAGAATCTGGCACATGCAATACCTCCCATGCATAAAAATAGTGACAAAGGTAGATTGAAAATCAAACCCTTATTATGAAATTTTATTCACTTTCCAATGATTTGGTTAAGCTGTCTGGCTGACAGGGAGGAAAGGATCCAAGATATCTTTTAAAATATTATTCAAATTTGATTTATATTATTTATGTTGCATAAAATATTTATATCTTTTTGGCTTTAAGTTATAAATGGAAAGAGACTGTCTTCATTGTGAGCACAAAATGTTGACTGTGATCTCCCTAGGAAAAGCACTTCACAATCCATGTGCTGGTGACCTGGTGTTTAAAGGGGAAAATGCCATTGCTTTTGTCTCAACTGCTCGGTGCAAAAACAGGCAGCAAAGACACAAGTCTGAAAATATTTGCAACATGGATCATATTTTATTAAATAGAATTACAACCCTTGGTAGCTATATAGGGCTTTTCATCCAAGGATCTCAGTGCTTTTTACAGAAATGGGTATTACTATCTTCATTTTACAGATGGGGAGACAGAGGCAAGAATAAGCGAGGTCACACAATGTGTGAGTGGCAACATCAGGAACAGATCCCAGATGCCCTGATTCCCAGGTCCTTGTTCTAAACAATAAATTGCTTTTTCTCGCTTTGGGCCGAATGCTGGCGTAGATTAATTCAATTGCAAAACTTCCACTGATTTCAATGAGATCAAGATGAAGCTATTTCTCAAATATATTGAAGTACAGTTCACCAAGATGCAGAAGTGGAAATCGCTTTTCTCCTTTTAGTACTTACTCCAGCTGCTTTTGATGCTCCATCAGAATATTTTGAGACTGCAGCGATTGAGATGGCAAAATATATAATGGCGGCAGTGACGCAGCGCAAGAAATCCTGTATAACACAATGCAGTGCTGATTTAAATAGTCAAATTATTGTAACACATTAAAGTCCTGTTACAATTGCTTTTAAAATGAGGACTTTAAAAAAATATTTCTTTGTCATCAGAATTTCAAGATTATATAGTTATAACTATTTTATTATCTGCATGTAGACTTGCTATTTTCTTGGTATATCTGGGAAATAAAAAAAAAAAATTGTTTTTAATGTGCTTGGGATCCTGACTCTGGTAGCTCGAATCTGATCTCAGTGACAAATCCAAAGCTTGCCCCTGGAAATCAATGCAAACCTCAAATTGAATTGAGAAGGGTATCTCCCCACTGAGTTCACTTGGGAACAGAGGCATTACTTTGGATTTATGCTAGTGTTCCTGAGATCAGAAGTTAGTGCTTTGTCTTCAGTGACTGTGCATGGAACATGATTGTGCGACAGCTAGAAATGATTAACAGAAGCTTTCCAACTGGAATCAACTTAGACTGTGGATAGCTTTTACAGGAAATCATGAAAGCCCTGCCATTTGAGACCCCAACTAGATGGCCAAAGGACAATAGCACATAACTTATAGGCGGGGCCATGCACTGGATTACCTATTCTACTTGTAAATATTTCTAGTGCCTCCATTCCTCTGGTTCTATCTTGTACACAGTGATTTTCTTAGATGGTAATAAGAATAAATTATACAGCTGAGAATCTAATTACATTACAGGAAACTGTATCCAAATCAATGTGATTATTTTCTCCCCAGGCAACAGTTGTACCAGCCAGGAGACTGAGTAGCACAGCAAACGCACCACAATGAACTTAAATATTTCCGACTGTATAAATGAAAACATTATCTTCAGTGCCTGATCAGAAACATGCTGAAGCTGTAGTTTATACTAAATGTGTACTGACATGTAAAGGATGAAAGGTTGAGAGAGAATTCTGTTCAGTCTATTAAATGGAGAGTATCCAAGCTACCAAGGAAGTGATGGAGGGAGATGAAATCTTTCACTTTTTTAGGTAAAATGTGCTGTGTATATGGTTGACATTGTGGGCTCTTTGGGAAAGGGAACATGTCTTATATCAGTGCTTGTAATGTGCTGTGGAAATGGCATCTCTACACACAAATCCTCCAGGAAATTGAATTCCTTTAAGGTCAATCTGAATTCTGAGGTTGGTACACGTTACCGCAATGAACATAATAAATATGCAATTCATTTTTTTCTTAGATGGTTCTGTGAAGGGTGCTATAAAACAGTAAAAGACAAGCATTTATTTGAAAAGGGGTGGGGGGGGGAGAGGGCTTTTGAGATTGGAACTGAAAGCATGTACACTCTCTCTGAGATGATGAAGTTACTGCCATAGTTTTAGCCATCAAAGACTCTACCAATATTTAACTCAAAACTCATTAAGACCAACTATCGCTACGTTGCACTAATAGGGAATCCAAATGGAACTAGGCTGGGATTTTTTCCTAAGCAAAAATAAATTGTCCGGCTAGATAAATATTCCCTATAGTGAGAGTGTTTGGTGCAACAGAGCCATCCAGTGGTCAGTGTAAGTAATAACCTGCAACTCCTGCAGGCTTCCTATAGATCAGATACAGTACTTTTCAGTTTAAAGGTAATTTTCTTCATACAAATTGGGTATCAACTGCCAGAAGGGTCAGATAGCTTCTTCTGCCATCACACAAATAGATTAGTACTGTGTTGTTGGGGAAAATGCTTCTCTGACTGCACTTACATAGCACATTCCAACTGAGAATACCAGAGTACTTTAGCAAGGTGATATTTTCCCCCTCACATCATAACATGGGGAAACTGAGGCACAGAGATTAAGGGTTGGATTTTTCAAAAGTGCCCAGTGCTGGCCCAAAGCTCAGTTAGGCTGGGGCAAGGTGCTTTTGAGAATACAACCTTAAAGTCACACAGCAAGTCAATTGCAGAGTCAGTAGACCCTAGGCCTGGGCTCCAACTACAATGTTACCTCCCATAAAAAATGGTAGCTACAAAGTTATAGTGTATAATCTATTGCAGTTTGTAACATGACTTCGGGTCCTGTGGGATGAAAGGCACTAGAGAGAATTTATTAATAATAAAGGTCAAGTTGTTAGCAATTAGTGTAAAATGCAGCTCTATCCCTTTTATCATCTACTTTCATACTGTAAAATTGAAGTTGTGTGTGAATTTTACATCCCACTTACCGTCAAAGGCCAGTAGATTCCTTTAAACTTCTCATTAAGCTTAGAGGAGTATGCAAAGAAAAGAAACAGCGCCAGCAGAAATTCTATGAGTGGTGCCATCATGAAAGATGCAGCCGAAGATGCAATATAACAGATAAAGGTGATAAATGACAGCACCTAGAGTACAAGGGAAAACATCGCTAATTATTCACATGGTACAGCAGAGACAGAGTCCAGGACAGCTCTGAGAGGCTTTGAAGAGAGATTTCTTGTGCATATTTCAGTCAGTCCAGTGACTGATGGCAAATGCTACTTTCTACATGCCCCTCTTGCTTAGAATTGTGTAAATTTAAAATAACTCCATCCATTCCAATGGATTTCTGGGGAGCCACTCCAGATTTACACCTATCTAAGTGAGACTATCATTTGGCCCTCATTGTAAACAATTCTGGGAACATAATTAAGTGATCAAAGTTGGAATCTGTCAGAAAATGAATTTATCAATTCTAAGCTTTCAGTCAAGGCAAAGCAGTTCCCATCAGAAATCCAAGTCATTGGTCAGATAGCCCAGAGGTATTAGTCTTGTCAGTAGAGTTAAAAGAAAAAAATATAATTTCTTCTGCTGCTGATGATGATTAAAAAAAACAAAAAACCTTTGAGAGTTGCTAATGTTCAAAGGTTCCCGTGAGTCAAAGGTTCTTGTTTTTCTTCCAGCACTGACTGCTTTGCTTTAGTAAGAACAGACTTGAGTAAGATTTTTCTCAGGAAGGAGGTGGTTCAGATAAAATGAACCTGCTATGTGTGTTACAGAACAGTATTTATCCCACTCTGCCTTAAACCTCCAAAACAACAAAAATGGTACTTTCTCTGCAATGCTCTAGCTGCAAGGAAAGACATTGCTATATTACGGCTCAAAAAGGAAAGCTCTACAATGGAGATGTGATTAAACAATACAGCACAACCTGAATCACAGCCCCAAAATAGATATAAAGAATGTTGGGTTGCACTGCCGCTGATACGACACACCTGTGAGGGTAAGTAAAGTGTGTCTCATTTTAGTTTTACAGATGGGAAACTGTAGCATGAAAGCCATGGGTTATTTCAGTGAGGGGAGGAAGGACAGAGGACAGATGGATTCTATTTTAAAAATTAAATTTTATTTACCTTTACATGTGAAAAATGAATTAAATCACCCATTTTGAGAAATAACCCCCCGCCCAAACCCCTAGTTTGTTTTGAGAAGTTCTGGCCTGACATACTTGTCTAAGGGTTGGAGACCAGCTTTATGGGCCTCTGGCTCGGTCTGTCGTTAGTGTAGCCAGTAGCCTCTCCGCCTTTAATTTCCCCCTATAGGATGTGTGTTAATTAAAACTGTTAAAACAATCTCTCCCCCTCCCCCCCCATCCCAACTAACATTCTCTCTCTCTCTCTCAGCCTGCTCTGGCCAACCACAAGAAGAGGACACACCTGCCCACAAGAAGTCAAGAAAACACAGGATAACAATCAAACCAAGCATAAAGCAATATTTGGCAGTTTTTTAATGCAACTCGATGGGAAGCTGCAATACAACATTATCTGCACTCATGGGAAGCCAATAAAGCAGCAGCAGGCCAGGCCCTATGCCCAGAATTCCAAGATGGCACCATTTAGAGGTGAGTGGCACAGCTGGCTTCTCTCTGGATCAAATTGACTTGTGTATTTCAAAATCTCTCTTTAAGAACAAAAATCTCTAGCATAGTCATTAAAAAAATTATTTGCATGCCAAGCCACAAAATACAAAGTACATACTGAGTTTCCCAGCAAGCCACACCTCTTCTGAACCATTCCCAAATGCAAAATTTTAGATTTGCTACTCAGATAGTCATAGGTGGTGTTATCACTGGTATTCACTAGCTTCCTTTTCAAATAGAATGACACAAACACGCTCCTTCTTCAATGTTGTTCTATTCACTACCTGGAAAATAGGATATCAGTAAATGATGTGTGCTAGGTTCTGGTCCTGGGTGACAGGTCTGTGCTGTGTTTGAGAGTGGTCTATGCCTGAAGAAACTACTCCACAGCTTCCTTGTTTTAATGAAATGTCAGTTTATTATTTATTAGTCAAACATAAAAATGCATGAGCTCAAGGGGCTGCTTTTTGAATGGAAGTCTAATTGGAATGCATTCTTGAAATGTTCATTTAATCTCAGAAGTGTGATTATGCTATGGAACAGCCTGGAAACATGGTTCTATCCAATTATGCTTAGAATTTCTGCATTTACAGGTGTCTGATACAGATGGGTCCAAACTTCCCTTACAGAGCCAAATGTTGAACCCAGCAAAGGTCAGTGATGTTTCTAGACCATTACAGTGATAGGCAAGCCACAAAAGTCAAATCGGAATATGAGTTCAAATTCCTCTTTCTAAATGTGGAGGTTTCCAAGTCCATCTCTAGCCTCAGAGAAGTGAGGGGTGTACATGTTTGTTTGTTAAGATGGCCCTTTCTGTTTTTCAAGAAGCAGTGTCTCCTTTTCAGAAAGTGTTTATATTAGAGGGATCAATGTATTTGTCTCACTGAATTTCAGATCTATTAGTTTGACTGTCTGCAACTACAACATATTCCCTGCACCGAGTTGTACATCAATTAAGGAGCGTTACATTTGCCATATAAGTCACTAATTGCTCCTGTGAGAAGTCATTCAGTGCCCTCAAATACATATACCTGGAAAGCACATTAGGTTAGGAGAGTTCTAAGCAGTTTAATCTTGTTGAGATTATTTACTAATTTATTAAACTAACAAACCTTCGTACTGATCTCTAATTGCCTTATTAGATTGTTCCATCTGTGACCAAATGTAGAGGGAACATAATAATTTAGTGCAATAAATCATCTCATGCATTTAATATCAGATGGGTTTGTTCAGACTTATAAAGGAGTGGATGATTTGGTGTGCAATACATATGGCTTACTCTTGAATCCAGTTCTGTTGTGTGATGGCTCAACCTCAAGCTCTGTGTATATTCCATTTGATTCTCATGTGTCTTATGGACTCAGCTCATCCTCCAGAATACCATGGAAGACACTGTTAGTAATCTCATTCCCTGTTTCAAGTGCTGGCTTTTTGGTGTGATTGTTATTTATTATGAGATACAATCGGTGCTTAAAGTGGTCTGAAAAAAGTGAGGGATCTGTCATAATCTGGGAACAATACCACAGGTAAGACGGTGCTTAAAGTACACCCCTCAGCGACCTCGCTTGATTTTTTTTTCTTTTGCCCAGGGATGTGACGACTTGTAACTGCCCCTTCCCTCCACGTGCCCACTTTAAGCAGTGAATATGAAAGATTGAGGTGGGTGCTATAGTAAAGATTAATGAGGAACACAGAAAAAAGTTGCACGGGGGACACAAGGAGTGATTCTAACTCCAGCTAGCATTGAGGTTGTCCTAGAGGAAGATTTGGTTAATTTAGAATTAAGGTTGCTAAATTCAATGACTAATTATGCAATCCCTAAAATAATCCCTGGGAAATCCTCAGTTATGTTCCTTCTCTCCCGGTATATGTCACTTCTGATACTCTCCTACTCCCACCACCACCCTCTACTTGTAGGCTTCTTTTGTCACAAATGTGCAACCTTACTCTGATCCTAATGAGTATAGACAAGTGAGTGCTGAGATTTTTATGGAAGGAATAGTAGTTTCTGGGGCCTGGAAGACAGTTTCTGATGGAACATATCTTGTCTTGGTGTGTTAGACCTGTGGTGGTAGACTGGGGGGGCCCGGCGGTATGAAATTCCTAGAAAGATGTAGGTAAATATGTATATGACATTGTTCTTGTTTCATCTTAGGAACCTGTTATAAGAAACTGATACTGTTCGTAGGTGGTGGATGATTCTTGTGGCTCAAGTTAGGGTTGCACATATGATAGTGAAGGACGAAGCCTTTGTGTTGCGGATTATGGGAGGGTGTAGAGGAATATGAGAAATGACATCCTGTAGAAGTACAAATTTAAAAGTGCTGATTTTGTTCCCCCACCTCCTTTCCCCTCCAAGATAAGTCTGGCTGCTGTTTTCTGGCCAGGAAATAGAAAGTCCCATAACTTTGTTTTATAAGCATATCTGCTGCACTTGCATTTGCAGGACATGACATGGACCCACTGTTTCGCTGGGAGCTGGTTGGAAGGTCCATAATATTGAGAATATGAGAAGTGTTGTTTCTCACTGCTCCTCTTAAAAATCTCCTGTCCTTTTTCTGGCTGAAGGCAGGGCAGAGGGGATGGGGACAAACAAAACAAGAATAAATAGGTGAAGCAAAGATGGGCTGTCTGAATCCAAATACTGGAAGAGTTAAACACAAACTGTACTTCATAGCTTAGCTTACCAAAAAGAATTGAGCACAATTTAAGTAGTGAATTACACTATAAAGAACGTAGAAGAAAAAGCAAAAAGACCTAATTCAGAGGTGAGTGGTCCATAAAAACAGAGGAAAATAACAGAGAGCTTCTATACCAGACTCCATTAATTTAGCATATTGACACCAGATTTTACTGTGCACATTTGTCATTCCCGCCAGCAGCGCAAGGTTTCTCCATCAAAGGTATGAGCTAATTCAGGTGGGTTGGACATATAGAAGAGTCTTTGCATTCTCTTTTTGCAACAGTTAAGGCAAATAGCAACCCATGAAATGCTACTTGTCTCGTTTTTAGTGATGTAAATGTTGGGTCTGACAAAGATTTGAATTCTATGAACTCTGCAGCCCTGTAAAGTTATTGCATTTGATAATATTAGCACCATCACACTCCCAGTAGATACTATAATTCTTCCCACTAAGGGGTAGGTGATAGTTTTACCATCAGCCAGTACAATTGCTTATAAGGAACAAACTCTTGGCTTCCAACTTTTAACAGAAAGCTTTGTTCTTTAGATTCCAACCAGGACAGTCCTAACAAATAACGTCTGAGAAAGAGCCTTACAATGATCCATAGTCCAAACTCACGGAGGGGAAATGAGAGGATGTGTGTGCTTTGGCAGAAAAAAAAGGTCCTATATTTGTGCTAACATGCCTGAGGGTAAATTCTCTGATAGTTTATGACTATAGAAAATGTATTCATCTGGGTTAAAGTCACCCACTTAATTAGCTGTAAGCAGCAAAATTTGGCACAAATTATAGGATTATGTAATAGTTCTTTGAGCAACTTTAAAGCCTTCCCCAACTGGGGAGAGATGCTTGTTCTTTCATGATAAATAGACCCCCACTGTGCTATGCTCTGCTGTCCTATTAAGGAAGTGGTTATAATGGATATGGGCCTGATCCAAAGGCCATTGAAGTCAATGGAAAGACTCCTATTAACTTCCAATGCACATAGCTGGGGACTTTAATGAGAAAGAGACAAGTTCAGAAGAAAGCAGAAAGGAAATGGAAACCATTGTCACCTAACCATTTTATTTTATTTGCTTGCTGATAATGTTTACATGCTAAATTTGCAAATGAAAATGGGGGTTTTCTATCTGCTTCACTCTTACTAGGCTCGTCTTACCTATCCAAAAGGACAATAAAATTCAGGTACTGACTTTTATCTTGGCCACAATTTAGTCTCACTTTGCAAAAGGATTTTGACAGCCACTATGTTTTGTTGTAATACCACTGAGGATACTGAGCTGCCTGTGATTTTTGCACCTGAATGTTTGATAGTCAGACCCCTTATGTAATACTCATCCCTTCTCTGAAGTCCGATCTTTAACCATTGCTATGGGAGAGGGGCCAAGGAGTTGTAACTGGTCAATTTTTCTAAAAATCTCTCTGTTTTCTATTTCTATGCTAAAAATAGAGAGAGGGTGTTTGTTCTAGTCAGAGAAGAGTTCACAAGTCCCTGTTCGAAGACCTTCAACCTTTGAAAGCTCAACTGCTCCTGAAAGTTCTTCAAATTATCCTTAATCATAGCACGCAAAGGTAGAACATTTTCATAGAGAGGACGTATTCTGCACAGCTGGAGTCACGAGAACCCTCAAAATACAAATTGTCTTCTGCGATCACTCCTTATTAGCACGGAGATCACTTAGAACACTTATTGTGCCTAAAATTGCTGTTGAGAGTTTAGCCAGGTTGCTGCCCCTTCCACTGTGTGGGAGTACTTTTGTGCTCACAACTCTAGCGTAACCGTCCATAGACAGGACCACAACAACAATATCCTGTTGTAAAAAGGGTCCCACCATAAGGGAACAGGCTAATGAAGAGACTACTATTTAATATTAACTGGTTAAGGAGCCTGATTTTATTTTTTATTATTGCATTCAGAAAGGTATTTTTCTCCTACATGAAACTTTCTTAATCTTATGTGCCTGGGGCTCCTAAGTTGTTATCAGTAATGATTCCTACCTCTTAGTCATGTCATTCAGTTACAGGTATAAAATATAATTAAAATGGTTAGAGTGGATTATGCTTCTATTAATGAAGGACCTGTGGAGGTCGCAAGCAGAGTGCGGACTTTTCTAGCCTCTCTCTACTGATTACACCCTCCTCTGCAGTTCATCAGGGATCATACTGAGGGCCAGGCAATAGTTTAGAGCTTTGCACAGTGATACATAGTCTTACTGGCCACCATCCACTAGCCTGAATGTTCAAACACATGTTATTTTCCCGCTTCATGGGAAAGAGCAGCCTTGCATATTCACATTGCTTGTTGAGTACGGTCAAGGAAGATCTCCTTTATTCAGAGGGTAAACACCGGCAGCTCTAATTTTCCCTATTTCATCTTGTTTACACACTTCATGCAAGGGAGAAACAAATCCACATAGTGAACTTTATGGTACTCCAGTTACTAATTCTCCATCATATTTGACACAGAAATGAAGTTCTGTCCCCAGAGATTCAGCTGCAGAGGTCACCTTCTATGTATTGAGTCACAGAAAGTCGTAGGGGTCTTCTTCAGAAGAGGCATTGATTACACAACCTTTTCAGCTGGAAGTTTCAGTTATAGGGCTCACTTCAGAGAAGAAGACTGAAAAGAGAGAAGAAAGACAGAAGACAAGAAAAACAAACATCACCTTTTCTGCATCCTTTGTATCGCAACATCCACCATACTTGTGAAGGGCAATTTGGAGTATTTGTCCTGTGTTCCTACAAATATCTATAGTGCCTCCCAGAGGGGTGCATCAGGCATACAGGAGTTTGGATGCACCACTTAATTTTAGGAGAGAAGCAGTGACCCAGACAACCATGAAGGTTTGACTTAAATATTTGCAGTGGGGAGCAGAATGGATAAGAAGGAATCTTGCCTGGGTCGATGGTATGGAAGTCAGCAGCAGCGCTGTCTGTTACATGATTCCCTGGCATGTCTTTTTTGGGTGT